AATATTATCATCTCAAATTGCCATAGGTGTATTTGTCAAGATCAGTAAATAAACGTGGGAACACTTCTTTTAATAAAACAGATCTTATTTATATTTAAATAATTTTTATATCATATTTATTTTTGACTATTCTTTTCACCTGTCATCTTTTGTCTCTTTTAGGATTTAATCCAGGATAACTCATTGCATTTAAGCAGTCATCTTTTAAATGAGTTTGTTCACAAACTACAAGTAAACTATACTCTCCACTATTTATTTTTGACTATTCTTTTCAACTGTCATCTTTTGTCTCTTCTAGGATTTAATCCAGGATAACTCATTGCATTTAAGCAGTCATCTTTTAAATGAGTTTGTTCACAAACTACAAGTAAACTATACTCTCCACTGTCAAGATTTTGACATTAATTTCGGTAAAGATTTTTAAAATGGGAGTTGATTGGTTTATATTTCATAAATATTTTAAGACTAAAATGGTTTTGCTCTCAGAACCCCAGAAAGAGGAATTTGGAGGGTAAGGTTTAGTTAATGATCAGATGGACTTAGAACCTTATCTTCTTTTCAGCCTCCTGCCCTCTTTGCTTTTCTCGTATGATGATGCCGTTTGTGCAGGAGTGGATGCCGTGGGTCTGAGAACCACACTTGCGTTTTCTAGGATTGCTAAGGACATTTAAAAGTGTCGCTTATGTTCCAAATATCATAGTTGCTCTTCAGCCAGTGGAACAAAAATATTTTACATTTGTAAATGTGCAAGAGAGAAAAGTACTTGTTCACCTTAGTGACTGGCAAAGCGGGAATCAGGAGTAAAAACATGGTCACTTGTGCTCTGTGTCATTGGCCACGACACCCTTTCCTCCCTCTCACCAACCTCGTCTGCTTCTCTGACTGCATCAGTGTTTCTGCAGGAGAGTTGACCTGATTCTCATGAGAAGCCACCCTTATTCAGCCACATACACAAGTACAACCTGAGGATGACAGAATTTCCAGGGAGCTGTTCCATGCATAGAGTAAGAGGAAAAACCCAGAGTAGAGCCCAGGTTTGCATGAGCTGAAGTTCTTATTCATTTCGCTTCACCCTCTTTCCAGTTGTGGCCCTAGGCTGGGCTGGCCAGAGCTACATGAACACCAGGGCCACTCAGGGTTTGTTTTTTTCACCTTATTTCCATGTGACAACTTGTGAGTGAATACGGAGCTTGTTGTAGACACTGGGCAGAAATGAACCTGCAAGCATCATAGCATGGCTGTTCTGAAGAAAGCAGAATGGCAGATGCTAATGTACACAATTGTGTATTTGGTATTTTTACTTACATTTTAAAAAATTGTTTTTGTCCTCTGCAAGTGGCATTCATAAAATTAGATTATTTTTAATTATCAGAATAAACTCAATTATTCTATTCCTCTATTTTTAAGAAATATATGTGTGTATACAAATATCCACCCACATCTACTATTTGACTGATACATTTCATAAAATGTACAGGTGAGGATAAAAATCATTCTTTGAAGTCATAGCTAAAGGAAAAATGAAGTTGAGATCAAGTAATTATCAGGATGACTAAGGGAAATACTTTCTTTCAGTAAGACAACTGGCTTTTTCCATGAGTGCAAAATAGCTATAACTGTAAGACCACATTATCATAAGTAACATTTTCACATTTGACCTTAAAATCCTGAGAGATGAGCAGGTCAGCTGACTGTCTCTGCTTCATCGGAAACCTCTGTGGCTTGAGGACATACACTTGATGAGTCTGGGTCATATTAAAGTCTCAAGACTCTGGCCGATAGCAAACATGTTACTTCCCTTCACACCTGTCTGTTGTCAACTTGTGCAAGTGAGCAATTAGACTTTCACCTATGATTACTTGATTTGCTCTGTTTCCTTCATCAGTGTGCTACCTTCAAATACGAAAGCAGGAATAGGAGGCTTTAAGGTTTGTAGGTGGGAAGAAATGCTGGGATGGCCACTCCACTCTGAATTTTTTTTGTTTTTTGTTTTGCTTTTTTGTACTGGGGATCGAACTCAGGCCCTTGCACTTGCGATGCAAGCAGTGGCACCACTGAGCTAACTCCCTGGCCCTGCTCTGAAAGTCTTGGTGGAAAAGGGATCTTTGTTCTCTTCTTGTTGGTCCAGTGAAAAGGACTTGGACTTAGAGACAGGAGTTCGGTGTCAGATCCCAGACCAGTCAGCTGTTGTAGGCTTGAACTTCACCTCTTGGAGCATGAATTTCACTCCAGGAAAGCAGGGCCAGTGAGAGCTAGACTGCTCTTTAGTCATCAAGTTCAGTGTCTGTCGTAACTTTCCTTGAATCACTTCACTTAGTCATTACGACAGTATCGTGAAGTAGGCAGTTTTGTCTCCATTAACTTCTCTTCTAATTTTTAAGAGATGAACTGAGGAAGAAACCTTTAACATTTAGTGCACACAGAGGCTGTGTTAAGTCTGTAGCTAGGCAGCACTCCATAGATCTTTCTCTTAGAAGGAACGATTTCATTCATCGAAAGATCAAACTTTTAGACTTTTATAAAAATGTCTCCGGGATAGCCGTGATTTTCACCTGCTCTTTCGCCTGTGCTTTCTCTTCCTCTACTTGTCGATGTGACACACTCCAGAAAAGGAGACAGCTTCAAAGTCATCCTAAAGCCATCCTCGACACCAGCCCCTGACGACGGTGGGTCCGCCTCAGTTCCAAGGAACCGCTTGAGAACGACACTCGGGGCTCTCGTCAGGAGATCGCTAGCACGTTATGAAAGCTGGCAGTAAAAATTAGAGCTGTCCATCTTCCCTGCACCTGTCGATGCTTCTGTTCACCTAGATAGAATTTCTAGCTATTCTAAACTAGCCGGTAACTCATTTCCACCTCTGTTTTGAAGGATCACTACCCATGACTCTTACTAAAGCTCGAATTTCCTATTTTCAGTGACAAAGACAGATGAAAGATAATGTAGCATCCAGATGACTAACTAGCAATGACTACGAAATGACATCCTGGTTTGAAGCAAACCTTTCTTTCTCCTAATCGCACAATTGTTGCTT